AGAGAGAGAGAGAGAGAGAGAGAGAGAGAGAGAGAGAGAGAGAGAGAGAATAGATTTTAAAGCTAAATGTTTAGAAAGAAAATAGAATGTTGATGTAAAATATGGTAGATGGTCTAGAGAACCAAGAGACCTGCAAACTCCATACTTAGCAGTGTATCCAACCAATGTAATGTTTTTCTTAGATTTAAATATTTCTTTATAATTTAATTATCTATAAAAGTAAAACATGATAGTAATATGGACTGAAGGAAGATAGGCATAAGGGACATTGTAGCATGCAATGTTATTTCTACAAAGCTCTAAGAATTAAAAAGTAGCTTTTAGTTTTAGTGATTGCTTCAGGATGACAAAGGAAGCCATGTAACTTTCAAAATCACAGATAGGCTTGCTATGCTGAAGGGGACATATATGCTAAGATTGTATGTGTGTGTATGAGTCAAATGTATCAAATTCTACACCTTCTATACACAGAATTCTTCTATACATAGAATGTACTCTCATTCAGCTCTCTGCTTTCCAGATAATATATTGTTTAAAAAGGAACCCAGGACATTAGAGGTCAAAAGCATGTCAAGGGCCCAACAGACACCCACCCAGTATAGTTGCCCTTGTTCTCACCTGAGCAATTTTCCACCTTCCCCCCTCTTAAAGAAAACCTTTTATGCTATTCTGGTGTGGGTTTGTGGGATTTTTATGTTTTTAAAATTTTATCTGCAAGTGTGTATGTATGTCCGTGTATGTAAAAGTCTGTGCATGTGTATGTCTGTGCATGTATATGCCTGTGCATGTATATGCCACATGTGTACAAATGCCCGAGAAGCCCAGAAGAAGGATCTTATCTCCTTGAGCTGGAGTTACAGGTAATTGTGAGCACCTGACACAGTGCTGGGACAACTAGCTTTTATTAATGAATAAAATACATGTACTTGGCATGTAATTTTATTAATAGTGCTAGTGGGATTTTCTTAGAATACAAGTTTTAGGCAAATTATTTAACTTCTTAAATATTAGTGTATTATTTTTTTACAATGTCGTAAGTCTCAAGTATCCAGTCACTAAGAAGGTGAACAATTTAGACCACATCCAAGGGTGATAATGTGCATGTCAATGAATTAATGTGGAGAAAACTTTGGAATTGCAATTACGGATCCTATATGCATATAAGTGAAAAGGTGTCGATTTTATCAAAATGCTAGAGCTATGTAGCTAGATTTGTTTAGAAGAAAATTCCGATTAGCACTATTTCAGAAACAATTCCAGAGATGCTCTCACCAGCCCTGCTCCCCAGAATGGATAGCCTGCTCTGTACGACAGAAGGACTTCATCGTCAAAGTCGGAAATGGGGAGTGCTGAGCAGACAATTGTCCCGAGACAAAGGCATATCACACCAACCAGAATTTGTGTTACCTGTGGAAAACATGAAGTTTGTAAAGTTGGGAGATATTTTCTCAAGATTGTACCTATTTCCCTATAAACAATACCGAAAATGAGAAATCTCTTGAGTGTCATATGCCTTCCTGTGATTGAACCAGATGATAGATTTTCTACTGCCTTCTTTTCACTATAAAAATCGGAACTGTTACTAATAGAATCTAAAGCACACACAGTTAATATGTGTCACATACATCTTTATCTACATAGTTATGATTGACAGGAATAACTGTCCTATCTATTAGCCACAGGCATTATGTATCCATCCTTAGTCCCTATTCTCCAGTCATGTTTCAGTAACTTAAAGTCTTCTTGAGAAAATGCTTCTCTCTTCCCAGAATGTGCAGTGAGCACCACCGGTTCCTCACCTATCAAGAATGTTACAGAACCTATCAACCCATGAGAGGAAATGTAAATATATCCTAATACTCTTTCATAGAGCCAGCATTAATTCAAGTTGAAAATGGAGGCTAGACACTCACCCCCAGGAACTCCAAATCTTTCTTCAAAAGTGCCTGCCATGTCTGCGGTGGCGGGGGTGGTGCTGGCTTCTCTGGCAGAGCTTTAGCAGAAGGTGATGTTTCCAAGAGCTCAATGTCAGGCACACTGAAATTTACAAAATTTCAATCATACAAAAATCCTCTAACTTCCTGTGTGAAGTTGTTAACTGTCAGAGACTAAAGTGTTACTTGTTAATTGCTTTTTGAAAGAATTCAGCAGTTGAACTCTTCAGGGTAGTGCCTGAGAAGGCTCAGAGAGCCAAAGCAACCAACCATTTGAATATTATCCAAGTGTTTACATAGAACAGAATAGAACAAAAGCCATGCCTCATGTTCTTGTTCATCCCAGGTTGTCATAAATTCCTTCTATGAGTCACTATCTATGATTAAAACAAAACAACCAAATACGCTAGTCTGTCAACTTCAAAATCATTTTATCATAGAAATGTATCTGCATGCATTTTGTCGCTACACACAACTTCATATGCAGAGAACTGCTTTGAGGGACGACTTCAATCTCCTTTAATATTTTAATCTTGGGTGCAGGATCCCATGCCTTAAGTTTCACAAAGGCCAACAGGAATGTGGTCATCTTAGAATGCCTTTGACTCCCAAAACACACTCAAACACTGAGGCAAGAAATCTGTATGTTCAAACTCCCTGTCTCACACCCCAAACCACACGTCTCTAGTGTTAGAAAATATGGTATTGCCAATTTTCAAGTCAAGTAAAAACCTGCTGCCAACTGCTGAAGAGAAAGACACTAAGAACGTGTGAGCATGGTTCAGTAACTTACTTGAGTGCATGTATAAATCTAAGCATTGGCATCTGACTGCCCAGCACTGTGAATTTCTCCGTCTTGATGAATAACTTCAATGGAAAAGCAATAGTCTTTACTTACCTGGGGGATTCTTGTGGGTTTGGGAGCGCAAGATCCGCTCTGCTCTTATTTTCTGTGTCCATTTTTTCATAAACTGGACTACCCGGGAATGAAGGACCCTGTTACATGGAGAAGTGGTGTACTCTGGGTGGGCAGTTAGATGTGTTGACTCTGAAAACAGTGATTATCTCCATGCAGATAAGTCTCCCAGCTGATTGGTATCAGTGGTTCCTTTCTCTTGCTATAATGGGAAGTCAAGACTGAGACATCTACCGAATAGAGAGCAGAGTGAACAGAGAAACTTGAGCATTTTAGAGCATACTTCTTTTTTCAATAATATTTATTAAAATTTTTTCACCTCCTCCCCTCCTCCCATTTCCCTCCCCCTCCCCCACTCCCCCTTCCCTTCCCTCTCCAGTCCAAAGAGCAGTCAGGATTCCCTGCCCTGTGGGAAGTCCAAGGCCCTCCCCACTCCATCCAGGTCTAGGAAGGTGAGCATCCAAACAGACTAGGTTCCCACAAAGCCAGTACATGGAGTAGAATCAAAACCCAGTGCCATTGTCCTTGGCTTCTCAGTCAGCCCTCCATGTCAGCCACGTTCAGAGAGTCTGGTTTGATCACATGTAGAGCACACTTCTGCCTGAGATGTAGGATTAATAGAACCTAATATTGAAGCATCTAAGCACTGAGAAGATCAAAGGAAGTAGAATTAAAAGCAGGTGTGGTCCTTAGAAGCTTCATCTACTATCCCTATGTCATAAGTTCTTCAGTTTGGTTTCATGTGCAGCCTCAAGGCTGAAATGTGTGTATTAGCACGAGTATCAATTTCTAAATGTATCTCTGACTTCGCATCCTCTCTCTTTCCACTCCCTTCTCTCTCCCCTCCCCTCCTCCTTCTCCCCTCCTTCTTATTCTCTCTTCCTGTTTATTGAATAGTATTTATTGTCTGCAGGAGATGATCTTCAAAACGGGACCCACAGGGTGAACCATGCCACTGAAACTAGCCAAAGTACTATTTGAATTAAGAAATATGCCTTATTATACATGGCAACTGATGTATAATGGTACATCATATATGTACCATAATGTAATGGTACATTATAATTGTAAGAACAAGACAAGAAAAACATGGAAGGATGTGAACTCAGAAATGATATGGGCAAATCTGAATGTTGGGAACTGAGCAATATAATCTACCCAGACAAAGTACCCACTCAACTATATCACAGTTAACTACCCCAGAACACAACAAACAAGAGGGAATTCACAGGTCTGCCTTGCTTATATTTCAGTTTAATTCTATGAATGGTTTTTCATGACTGCAAGATACTCTGTATGGTCCCCTAATCACCTGAGTTATTTTTTGGGGGGGATATAAAATGTCTCAGGAGAGATTAAGATGTGCATATTCATAAAGGATTCTAGTGTACATATTGCCAAATCTTTCCTAAAAATATTTCACTGCCCCAGTTACTTTCTTTCCTCTGTATCTTTGGGAATCAGTGCATCTAACAAAGACACTATTTGAATTAAGAACTAAGCCCCATATTCTTGTTCATTCATACAGAAAGGATTTCTTGCTATGGACTGCTCACATTATGGAGCAGGCAGTATTGACGATCATGATCCCAGACTCATCTAGCCCACAATATTGCAGATGAGAACAAAGAAAAAATATTATCTAGGAGGTCAGAGGCCAGAGACTTCTAGAACGTCAAAGAGGTTACAACAGTGTTGCCTGATGGAACATGTGTAAAGTTCAGAGAAGGAACTACCAGAGAAGGTGATGTTTGAGCCTAGCCTTAAAATGGTTGGCTTAGTAATCTCACTCCCTTACTCAACCTTTGCAAAACCACACAAGTCTGCAGGGTAAATTCCTAAAGCAATGTGATAGTCTTTAACAGTGTCTCCTAGTAGTATATAAAGGTTTGTGTTCAGCAACAACAACAACAAGAAAATCAGGAACCTATTTGAGATTTGGACACTTACCAGACTGAGAAGGCCCTTCCATGTTTGGAGATAATGCTTTTCTGTGAGAATTGTCAACAGCAAATCATGAAATGTAAACACAGTACTGAAAGGTGACCTATGACATCCCAATTATTTCATGCTCTGGTGTTTGTCAACAGCTTCATCCTTCCCCTTCCCGAGATGCTCAGCACATTCTGTACTCATGGTCCAGTTCCCCACAGCCATATTGTTCCACCTTCCACAACAGCAAGTATCAGAACATATGACCAAATGACTTCCTTTGGGGCTGGGCACTATTATCAAGTTGAGTTTTGACCATATGTCTGTCTGGAAGGAAGAGATAACAGACCAACCCCTGAGGTTCCTGAGCATGAAACCCTACCATTCCTTGAGCTTGCTCCAGAATCAGGCTGCAAAAAAAAAAAAAAAAAAAAAAAAAAAAAAAAAAAAAAAAAA